ACATGCATTAATTGGAGTGTTTTCCACTATCAAATTTGATGCTAATATTTTAGGGTTCCTTATTTCATTATCATAATTAACTGAAAACAAAGCCCAAAATTTAGTTTCTGGGTCCCATCTTCTAATATTCATGATCTTGAAGGGTTATTTAGATCACAGAATCATCTAAAATATATATCATACTTATATATATCTGATTTCTACCATTTTTACTAAATAAACACAAATAAAGTCTTACTGTTTTCCGCAATTTTCTTCAAGTGGTGCAGAATGCCAGATCTAATATCCTTGGGTAAAAATAAATGTTCAAGTTGAGGAAGTAGAACTCTGTAAACAGAACAAAACCATTTTCAATTAGCTAAAAGAATAGGTTTTGCAAAATAAGGAAATGGAGCAGATTTATTAAAAATAGTATTCATGGTATTTAGCATGGTATGCTAAAAGAAAAAGATGATAACAATGATAAACCTTGTTTATCATTAAAAAATACATCTTACCAAGAAAAGTCCTAGAGTCCTAATGTCACATAACAGAAACTGAGTATATCTTTTTGATATTGACATTAAAAGTGCTTGTTATCAATCATTTCTTTGCCAAATATCTAGTATGACAAATTGTTAGTGTTATTTACTACAAGTAGAAATAATCAACAGATTGTGTTAATGTTAGTTACATACCTTGGGAACTCCTCATTTTCGATCAAAGTTACTAATTCTTCTCCAAAGGTTCTGAAGGATCCGTCACTAAGAGGAATGAGCTGAAGCCCTCTGAGATCATGGTAGCACCCATCACTCAGAACATACTCCAGAAGAAACAGTATGTCTTCGTTAGACAGTCCGCTCAGGTTGCTTTTGTGGAGGACTCTTCGAATCAAATCAGGAGTGACGAATGTCAGTGACTGCGGGTTCTTAAACACAGACTGGATTGCTCCTAATATGTGGGATGGAATTTTGACTAGGAGTTGTCCCTCCTTGATTAGAAGATCAGCAATGACTTTCATCATAGAAGTGTCTTTGTCATCTGGAGGCAAAAACACAGCCTCTGCTGCTTTTACACACTGCTTTTCATCTCCTGCTAGAAACAAAACATTCAGCTGAAGGAGGTGTTGGAAGATTTCGATTGTGACTCCCGTCCACCTTTCTTTGTCTTTCATTTGACTGATGTCTGGCCACAGCTCATACACAGTGGAGGCTGGTAGAAGGGAGTGTGTTGATAAGTTAATGGCATCCAGGATGATCTGAAGGTAGGCAAGAGGAAGAACCATCTGTACTAACAACTCATTCCACTGAGCTGATTCATCATACTTCTGGTCTTCTTCCTGCCACTTAATGTGCCTCCTATTGTCCGTGAGACCAAAACAGGCATTGACATGAAGAGGAAATCCAGTCTTGTTGGGTTCATTGTTAGGCAGAGGCAGGAAACAGCTCAGTCGTCCATTGAACGACCCTTCCTCTTTGTCAAGGGGGAATGCTAGGCTTACTTGAGGAGAAAAACATAACTTCTCTGCAAGTGAGTCAAGTTGTTGCACATGTCCTTTCTTCATGCAACAAGATGTCACAAGCCATTGTTTTTGGGTTTCTCTGTCATTTGAAGAATGGTACGAAATATGTTTCAACCATGTTGAAGCCTCTGCCTGTACATCATTTCTTGGTTCCAAAATTTCACTGATATGGGGCTTTGATGCAGTTACCTTGAGATGGACGTTGACACTGCCCTGGCTGTTTACGTGTATTAATGAGACTGCAGTGACATTTCTCAAAAAAAGGAGACTCATGTCCGCATCGGCACTGAAGCTATCAAAGAGCTGAGTAATTTTTTCCGAGGTGTACAAATTTGGTGAGATCTCCGATGGCTTGTCACGCAAGGGAAATCGAAACAGCGTGCCAGAAAAGTGTTGGTCTTTACTGATGACATCTTCCCACCTCTGGCCGCAGACTTGTTCTAACACATCTTTGAGTGGCTGGAACTGATCGTGCAAACTCAGCAATTCTTCTCTGTCCTCACTGTCATCAAGAGACCATATGTTCCCTCCTTCTCTTTCACCAAAAATGGTCTCCTGAGGGTCCAGCATGCCAAGATGTCCGGCACTGAATATAGTTGGCAAGTCTGGAACAAGAAGGGTTAGAACATTTTTGATTGATACAGATTCAGTTGTGCATATTATAGAATTCTGTACACAGCAGGGACTTGACATCTGTGAATTTAACATTCGCAGACTCACTTATTTGCAATTTGGTTAGGCCGATGGGAATTTGTATGGAGGAAGAGCAGAACAGGATGAAACCGAGTTGGTGGTTGTTAACTCTTAATTAGTGGCACAACAGACAAATCTATCTAATGAGTGAGCCTCTCCCTGCCACCTGCCCAAGAACCTACTACCCAGCATCTGCATCTCAACTTGCTCTTGTTTTTATACTGTAACGAACACTCCCAGTTCTGTGTCCTCAGCATGGGGAAGGACAGGCTGCAGACGCTTAGACGGATGTTTTCTAATTGCTCCAATTCAGGGTCGCGGGGGAACTGGAGTCTATCCTAGCAAGCAAAGGGCAAGACAGTGTGCAGGTACACCCTGAAGGGATGGTGCAGGGTCGCAAGGCTGACACACAGCTATAATCACACTCACACCAGTTATCCTAGAAGCCAGTTAACCTACCAGTATGTTTTTGGACTATGGGAGGAAACTGGAGCACCCAGAAGAAGCTCATGCGAACGCAAGGAGAACACAGAATGAAGAAACATTACTGTAGTAAGTTTATTGTTGATTAACATTTGCTATGGAGAGTGTTGATCAACGTGTGGTCTAAATGTACACTAACTTTTTACTGAACTGACATATTAATAATTGTTATGCTGAGTAATGTCTGACAGCTATTGGGTTGATAGTAAAAGCTACTGTAAAAATCACAGGCTAATAAAAGCCTGCAGTGTAGCCACTGTTGCAAGATGTACAGTTGCAATGTGTGCTTTACGACAGGTTGTAGCAGCAATTTATTCCATTTCTCTTGTAGAGATTACTCAGGCACATGTCTGTTCTCTGCTGTCTGAGCCCAATTTACCACACATAGCCCCAACTCATTCCACAAAAGTTCAGTGGTAAGTCAGGTACACCAACTATAAATTAACTGTCATGTTCTCATCTAGGAAGAAAGCTGTTGTATAAAGATGTAAGGTGCCCTGTTTGGAATGCTGTTACATCAGGTTGAGCACATAGGAAGAGTAGGGAGTGAGGTCACAGGAATCTCTACAATTGGAGTTCCTTCCTCCTAATTTTAAGTAGACTTTACATTTAACAACTTAAATAACCTGTCAATCAGCTTTTTCCCTAATGAGGTTCAATATCTGAAACCAGTATCCTATTCAAAATGCATGTATAAACAGAGTGATAACTTTCCTTTGATGCTCAGTTTAGTATTTAATAAAGCAGATACTGCAGGGAAGGTGTGGTGGTGTTGCTTAAGTTCCAAAGTCCTCCCACCACCTAAAGACTGGCTGGGTTAGACTGACTATTTTAACAGAGCTTAGTTGGCTAGTCAAGTGTTTTCACCCCTGCCTTGTTCCCTATGGTGCCTAGTTATGTTCCAGTTTGCTGAAGTCCTCACCAGGATATTTACGGTATACTTCTATGAGATATGGAGTCCCCATTCAGTTTTGAAAGATTAATAAATAATTTCTGTACAAAAATAATTAAAGCCTACAGATTAAGCATTTTTGACAATCTGCTTTAAAAGGGTACTTTGGTAGGTTCTTCTGCTGTATATTACGAGGCATTATAAATTCACTGTAATTCACTGTAAGCCTAATTTAAATGGTTGTTACCTGTAATATGATAGACAGAGTTGAATCCAATTCCAAACCGGCCAACTTTATTTGGATCATTACGTTTGATACTCCTGCCAGTTGATTGAATACCTAGCCAGTCCTCATCAGAGAAGACAGCATTGTTGTAAGTATAGAGAGCAGCACCTATGAGAAGAAAAAACGATACTTAGAGAGACTGAAATTGAAGGTATTCGAACATTGATAGTACTAAGACTTAAATCATGAGCCATGAGCTGTGTGGACACGTTTGGGTAGTAGGTTTAATGGCAACACTGATGATAGACTGTTAAGAACTACCATTTGTTTTCTATGTCTGCTGACATTCCTAATATTGCTTCTGAATAAAAATCAAACTCTCATAGTCTATTGCTTTGCATTTCCTAAATGAATGAGACTCCCAAGGCAGATAATTTAAACCACAGCAGAAGAGATCTTTAGAGTGGTATTGATGATAAGCAAATCATGAGAATTGTTATCTACAAATCTTTCACATGAAAATATTTTGTCAGGCATAACACAGAATTTGCAACTACGTATGAAAACAGGTGTCCAAAAATAACTTGAGAGAAGAGAATAATAATTAGGAACACAAAAGGCTATTGTCAAAAAGGTTTCATACTGTACAGTATATTGTCAAACTTCTAACAGATTAGCATCTCTGAAGTTGCTTTAAATATTCAAATTTAGCAAGTAAATTTGTTCAGATTCTGGTTCAAGACAATGAAAAACTAGAAACGCTCCATACAACAAGAACACCGTGGCAAGAAAAAGTGTACCAGTGTTACAGCAGCCTCACATTATTTGCCACACCTTTCATTTATATTTCCCACTGTACCTTGGTATTTTCTGAGGTCCTCACTCCACAGGGCTTCATTCCCATATGTTCTCTCATCAAAGATAAACAGCACCTCTGTGGCACAGGCATCATCTGCGTTCTGTATCAACTCCTGTTTCAGACACAATAAAAAGAGATATGTGAAGATTCTTGTGGCCAGGATTCTCACCTTCAACAGAACAAAATTGTGCTGAGTTCCTTTCCGCTGTGTTTAAAATAATGAAACAAACTCCATTAGAAAATCTGATACTGTAGGTGGGAGAAGACGTTTAGGCCCAAATTGTCCAGACGTCACATTGTAGAAGCCGATACCTTGGCTTCTTCAAGTGGATGAGGTCCTAGGATTAGTAACTTCCAAATGCAGTACATGGTCTCAGAGGCCTCCCCCTTTTTGATACCAGAACTGGTGGGTAGTGTGTGAGATCCACAAGAGACTGTCTTAATTACCTAGCTGTAAATGTAGTGTTAATGTTACCCATGGTCGCCACAGCGACATAGTGCTTAGAGTTGCTGCCTCACAAAGCTGGGGCTGTGGGTTCACTTCCAGACCTGGGGTGCTTTCTGTGTGACATTTGTATGTTCTCACCGGGTTTGTGTATGTTTGCAACCACAGTCCAAAGACCTGCCGGCAGATTAACTGGCTTCTGGGAAAATTAACCCTAGTGTGAGTGTGTGCATGTCTGCATGTACTTGGCTCTCCTGCGACCCTGAATTAGATGAAATGGTTAGAAAACGAATGGATGGATGTTACCCATGACAGCCAATCGCACCATACTATATCAACAGATAACTGCATTATGAATTTTATTTTCACACATGGTGTGCAACTGCCTGCAAAGCTTACACATTTTGCTATCACTCGAGTGTACTACACACTGATTTCAAATTAGACTTTAGATGCCATACAATGCAGTGCCATATAAAAGTATTCAGACCCTTTGTAATGGTGTCCCATTTTGTGAAATTACAAAATGATGCATACACATTCTTTTTGAACTTTTTGCACAATGAGCTATTAACATATGCCAGACAACTGACGGTGTTAAATTTTGCTAAGGCTTTTAACAAAACAGTTCTCACTAATATCTCTGTTATCTACTTTGTGCAGCCCTGCTTAAGGTGAAGGGGGATGCCCATCTGTCGTCTTCTCTGTGCAGGTTGCTAGGAGCGGGCCAGGGAGGAAGAAGTTTATCTTCTTTTTGGCCAACAGAGAACCGACCATTGAAGAGAAGACCAGAGAGGTAGACCCAGCTCCACATGTTGTCTCACAGAGTCGAGACAACAAGTTGCAACAATCAATGACAGTAGTCATTAGTAGCTTGGCTAGTCTGAAATTGTTGCCTTCCTGAATAATGATTTAGCCTCTCTCTCTGTCAGGGAAGCAGTGTTTAGGCACTCATCCGTGAGTTAAAACATTCTCTATTCTTTTGGCTTGCTGAAAGGACCCTTTATCCGATGGGACTGAGACAGGGAGGTCCCTCAGCATTTCAGGAAAGTAAAAGCTGATAAGTGTTGTATATTGGTCTCTGCCTGGTTAATTTGTGCTCTGCATGCATACGGTAGATTCTCTGTTCTGGTAGCCTGGGTCTCTTTTCCCCCACCTTCACTATCACTGCCAGAAAGGTCTTATCTGGTACCACTGTTCAAGTCCAAGACGGTCAGCATACATGAAAGAGTTCAAAATTTAATTACAGCACAACCAGGATACACTGCTTTTCACTTTACTCAGGTAAGCCCCATTCTTACCATTCTGAAAATGAGAGCTCCCTTCACCTGGAAGTTACTATGTATAGTACAGTACCTCCACTTTTCATGTAACCGTGTGGGCACATCCATTTGCTTTGTCAATAAACCCAGCACATTGTCCAAGGGTTTTCTGACATTCAGTACATTAAGTGGGTGGTTCTATTACAATGAGTGCACTCTGCCTATTAGCAACACTTTAAATATATCTGTACTATCCTTTATTAAATGTTAGCTACCGGGCATGGGTGCCCCAGCATGTTTGAACAAGTAGGATTTGTGGTGGCTAGATTAATGGCTTTTCCATTAATGTTTTAAAGATTTATAAGCAAGCCTTCAGTATATTTGTATTGGCTGATGATGACGTTAGTTGGTCTATCCAAACATTAGTATAGTAAAAGTACACAAAGGAGATATGAAAATTGGCACTTGATCCATGAGGATCACTGTGCTCGTTTTCATTCCAGTTGAAGTCTAAAACCCTGAAGCCAGTTTACCTGCTTTTGCGTTCAGTCCTTAATTTCAAAAGCACCTACCTTCAAGTAGAATTTTTCCAGTGACTTTATATTTATATTTATATATTTATATTTTTAGTTTATAGTCATTATTTGTTTGTTTGTTTGTTTGTTTAATTTGTAGGTTTGTCTGGAGCTCTATAGGCATCTTTAAGAACACCTTAGATTACACTATCACCGTTTTTATACTGTTATGCCTTTCCTTGGTCTCCTGCAAAAGACAACACAGAAACCCTAGAGAATTAGTAACACTAAATATGTGCGATAACGACAAAAGGAACTAATGGCAGGCCGCATTAACGCAGTATTGCTACACGAAAAACAAGCAGAAATTCTTTACTGAAAATAAAGGGTTGCTAATGTGTCGACCTCACCTTCAGTATCTGCCCGCCGTCTGGATACCTGCGTAGAATATCTTTGAGGTAGTCAAGGAATGGTGGCGAAGTGCCCCCAAACCTCTTCCTACAAAGACAAGCCATAAAAAACAAGATCTTACTATGACTTTTTTTAAATTGAACGTAATTAACCGAAATAAGTACTACAAGCAAACTTAAGAACTGTACCAAAACGTACGTTTATCCCCCATTTGCTTTTAACGTTTGCCATGGAATTTCCAAACATCCAGTATGAAATAAATACAGTATAATAACATGTACATCCCTATAACAAAGCGGACAAAGTCCACCATGTGGACGTTTCAAACAGGCTACTTACTAGTCCGTCTTTATTAATCTATAAAATAGTTTATGACGTTATTACATCATTTGTTGGGAGCGGGTTCATAACCAGTTAAAAAAAGTAAAAAAGATTTATTTTACTTACTGCCTTTTCTTCCTTCGGCTTGCAGTATCACTCATTTTTCTTCATATGGTCCCTAAAATAAACATACTATAACGTTATTAATCTAATAAGTGTAAAACGTAATGCAAAAATATCAACTATTCAAAGTAATGTAAAGTAAAGTTAATTATTTTTAGTATTTTTATGCAACCATCCAAATCATTAAAAGTTTCCAAATACAAAGTACAAATCTACAATTTGAGTTCTGAAAATGACCTGTAAAAACATATACTTTAAGAACTGCCTTTATCAACTACAATAACATTAACATGGAAAATAAATTAAAGACTTCGATTTTAAGACGTGGATATTAAAATAAATACCTTTCTTTTTCAACATGGAGTGGGCTCCACATCAAATTTACCGACACAATAGTTACAACCCTGGACGCACCTGGTTTTATTGACTCGGCAGCCTTGTTTTTCACCTTAGATTCCGCGGAATCGAAACCTTGAAATGCAAATATTTCTCAATGTTCTTTTTGTGTTTTGTGCCGTATTTGTTTTGTGCAGAATGCCAGACAAGCTACTGAGATCCACCCAGATTATGCTTCAGGGTTGAGGCGCCAAAATGTTGACAATAATCAGGATGTCTGTTTCCACATGCGGCAACCTTTTGACGCTTTCTGTCCTATTCGTTTGCCGATGTGATTTACTAACTTTCTCACCTTTCTCAACCCAGTCTTTGCCTCTATATCACGGATGGGTAACGTACTAAAGATATTTGAGCGTACCATCTTGTTTAAGAGCAGTGCCTTACCCGGTTTGAACCCTTAAATGGTACTGTAGGAATCCATAGCCCTAACTAATGTACCCGTACTTCTGCAGCATAGGCAATACGTTAATGTACACAATATATAAAAATATACAAAGCTTCCTTCTATTTTATCATCATAAACAAGCATCTGCATTTGTAAACAAATATGGAGTGGAAGAATTATTTTAATATATGGAGACTTTTTTAATGCGTGTGGCAGAGATCCAAAGGATTTTAATAGCAATAGAGGCTTTTCTCTGACGAGCTCTAATCGCCTTAAGGTTAAATGAGAAAACAAGAGCACCTAACTGCTCAAACACATGGAACACCTGGATGAGACACACTGGTCACACAGTCTGCCAGTTACCTGAGGCCTGGGTACAGCACAGATATCCCTGCTGGAGATACACAAGCACACCATACTACAGTCTAAAGCAGTGAGGTGCTGTGGTGGTCTCCAAGAGCGGATATTATTGCATTATGGGAGTCCATGGATAGCTGCCCCAGGAGCTATTCTGCAGCTGTTCCTCATCATCTTCAACGTCCTCTTCATCAGTGGTCACGGGTCTGTTTTCCAGTTAAGCCAGACATGTACCCCTGTGGTGAAATTCCTGTCCTAGTAATGCAGGTCACAGTCTTGTTTCTGCCAGGACTCTGCTGGGACAGAGGCTTCTGGGAGAACTGTCTGTAGTGTCCTGCCACCCCCCACCTCCTTGACACAAGCAGTCCCAGCAAGGCCTGCCTGCTCTGTGCTGGGTGCCTGACCAATCAACACTTTCACCAGTATGTGCAACTTCCCATGAAGCACAAGGCTTTCAGTGGTGCAACCTGAGGATTTCCACATGACCGAACAGGACTCCAGTTCCTGTCTTGCTACTACCGAAGGTCAGGGTGGCCAGAGACCTGTTGACCTGCTCCACCAGTCTGTTGTTCTCAGGGGGAAGTGGTCTTGTGGGTGACATCTTTAACCACTGGTGTCAAACCTTATAGAGTCCAAATTCTTCTCTTGATCCTTGTGGAGCTCCTCAAGGATCCCAATCCAATGTCAACATCCTCTGCAACAACCACAACCGTCCACAAGCAGGACATTAAACATGTGATGGCCATGAGGATTTAATGATTATCTTCAATTAGTTTATGGAAATGATCCCACAGCATCCACTTCCAAGGACATCACAGGTGAGCCCATTTGATACTTCTACTGGACCCCTGTAACTAGTCACTGGATCCTTTTTAAATTTATGAAATTTCCCAAACCTGGTACTAGTGCCCTTTGTCATGATGGTAGTAGATATATCACCTGCCATAAGTTGGACAAAGTGTTTTTGCAGAAAAGTGTCCTTGTGTCTGTGTCTCTTGATGGGCGCTCACCCTGCAGTCTGTGTGGGTCCCAATGCCCCTTTATAGTGATACTATACTGCAAAAAAGCTCCATCCTTCGGGTGTGATGTAAAACCAAGGTCCTGATTCATTGTCATCAAAAATCCTAGGGCGTTTCTCAAAAAGAGTAGGGGTGTTACCCCAGTATCCTGGCCAAATTTCCCAATAGCCTTTAACAATCATGGCCTCCTAAAAATCCTCATCTCTGAACTGGCTTCATCACTCTGTTCTCCTCTCCACTGATAGCTGATGTGTGGTGAGCGTACTGGCGCACTATGACTGCCATCGCATCATCCAGGTGGGGGCTACACATTAGTGGTGGTGGAGGAGAGTCCCCATTATCTGTACAGCGGTTTGAATGGAGTGTCCAGAAAAGAACTATATAAGTGTAAGGAATTATTATTGATTATAATTATTAATGGCTTGCAGCATACCTGGCATCCACAAGTTCACCAGAGCAGCAGCCCCTTGTTTCTAGTGCCCTCCAGCAATGGGACAGTCTCTTAATGAGTCCAAAAGTCAAACATCTCATTGTCCTCGAGAGCGAGCCAGGTTTGACCCCCTTTGCCTCGGTCCCACTATCTTCCACCAGAGCACAGGCCCCATATTTCCTTCCTCTTCCTGCAGCCATTCCTACCTTCATGACCACAGCCAGGGCCATGAAGGCAGCCGGTGTAGTGGTGGTTGGGTTTACAGATTCCATGGCACCATCTGCAATTGATGACCAGAAACATTTTCTTTAATGTAATTCTGTTTCTGAATTCATGAATCAGTCTTTAAAGAGCTGTCAAGGAACACTTACGTGACGGCACGTGATGCCATTCATTAATTTCAGGTGCCGGTGCCTATGTCGTTTACATAGACTCATTGTGAACACAAAATGAGCCACTGATTCATCAAACCATCATCTGAGCTGTCAAGTGTACAGGCTGTAAAACAAACGCACACAATTCACCTTTTTTGCAAAACTAAGTAACCCTTTTTTAAAATAAAGTAACGAAAAGCTTAAAAAGACGTTTTGTGAGCCTTATTCAGCTGTTCCTGTCTCTGGCCCTAATGGACCACTGCATCAGAGGCTAGTCGATGTCAATTCTATTTTTAAAATGTTTTTAAATGTGCTTTCAGCTCCTAGAATGGTGAATGGGATTTGGGGTTGGTATTAACCCTGTATAAAATTCAGAGTTACAGAACTCCTTTCATTCAGGTTGGTGGCCTGTAATGTAACCAAATGGACTGCTTCACAAGGAAAAGAAAAACATTCAGAATGTCTGATACAGCACCTGTCCTATCATCAGAAACTCATGACATACTGTATCAAGAACTTTTCAGTCAGAAAAAAAGAGTACCCAGGTTGAACCTAAGGTGCTATATGTTGAAGGTGCTGAATACATTTGAACTGGATCAATCACACATCAATTAGCACTGGAAGGAAAACCAGCAGACATGGTAGTCAGCTACCAGGACTAGGAACTATTGGTGGCCTAAATAGTTGCTGCTTTCCATTCTAGCCGAGCTCTTTACATTACTGAGTCCTCAATTATATCGAGCTCTTTGATGGGAAGATATTTTTGTTCAAAAGCTGAAGATCTTGAGTTACTTAGAGTATGGAACAAAATTAAAATGCAACTCCCAAAATATTCAGGAACTGAAAATAATTCAATTTAAATTAATCATTAGATCAAAAGGGCCAGCAGGGGCCATTGGGGCCAGCAGGGGGCGCTCACCCTGCGGTCTGTGTGGGTCCTAATGCCCCAGTATAGTGATGGGGACACTATACTGTAAACAGGCGCCGTCCTTCGGATGAGACGTAAAACTGAGGTCCTGACTCTCTGTGGTCATAAAAAATCCCAGGGCGTTTCTCGAAAAGAGTAGGGGTGTAACCCCGGCGTCCTGGCCAAATTTCCCATTGGCCCTTACCAATCATGGCCTCCTAATAATCCCCATCTATGAATTGGCTTCATCACTCTGCTCTCCTCCCCACTGATATCTGATGTGTGGTGAGCGTTCTGGCGCACTATGGCTGCCGTCACATCATCCAGGTGGATGCTGCACATTGGTGGTGGTGGAGGGGAGTCCCCATTACCTGTAAAGCGCTTTGAGTGGAGTGTCCAGAAAAGCGCTATATAAGTGTAAGCAATTATTATTGTAACGCCCTCGCCTGGTGGTGAGGAGGAAGCGCCCCTAGGCGCTCATAGTACCGCTGGGCATGCTGGAAGTGGTAGCCGGGTCAGCACGATGACTAGCAGCTGACCCTACCTGTGTAAATAATGTCCTAGTAGTTCTAGTGCCCTGTGTAGTCTTATAAAAGTATAGCGTGTTGTTAAGTAATTACCACCCTAAAGATGTGTACGTGTTCCGTCAGTCTCCTCATGTGTCTATCCTGTGTTTGGTTTTGTGTGGTTGTTAATGAATAAAGCTAGCGCTTGGTTTGTTAATCGCGTCTCCACTGGTCCTTTGTTCTGAAAAGAACCTGTAAACGCTACATTATTATTATTATTTTATTATTATTATTATTATTATTATTATTAAGAGCTTAGCTGGTTCAGTATGTCTGGTCTAGATTGGTTCCATACTCTGAAGCAGTGCTACTCAAGGTACAGGCAATCCAGTGTGTCCAATTACCCAGCTCCTTAATTAATTAATTTCTTTTAATTGGAAGAACTGGTGAAAAGCTGTTCTTTGAACGAAAAGGTCAGAAAAATGAAAAGCAATTGATTAGTTGATTAGTTCAAAATAGTAGTAGTGCATGTCTAAATCCCTACTATATGTACATAAACTATTATATCAATCACATATCAAGATTCAGCTAAGCAATTGAGAGCTGGAGCATTATTTTATTGATAAATTACAAAATTATCAACTCAGGCTTCAGTGGAATGTTTTGTCTGATTTATTTAAAATGCTAAATTTTAAATGCATATTTAATTTCTTTTGAGTTGTGAATTTTATCATCCAAAGTGCACATGCAGAATTTTCTCAGTTAAATGTTAACCTACTTTTGATTGTTGAGAAATAAATTATTTAAGTTAGAATAGTACTGTACAGTATGTACTGTTTGTCCATTGTACTGGTTACTGTATTTGGCTGACATCAAACACCTATTACAGCAGAGTAGCATGAGAAAGACTCATTCATGATATAGAACCCAAATGGGGTTGGTTTCAGGGTAATGTACTAAGTATTGGTTTAATAGAGGATAGCATAGCACTAGGGTAATGCATTCAAATTGCCACTTCCATGATTTGTGCTGAACCAATAGTGGGTAGATACTGCAAAATGCATGGCCCACACCTGTATTGTTCTTTAAGTGAATTGCTGCTGACCTAACTTTGATGGAATTGAAAATAAAAGTCATTTATTTTAAACTAGTAATGTCCCAATCTGAGCGGGTTATAAAAAAACCCCAACATTTTATGCTTACCATATTGCCTTATACTATTGTTATAAATGTTTAAGGCAGTGAGTGAATCAGCTTGGAAAGTCTTTATTACATGTTAGAGTACTGTATGAATAAATGTAAAGGTTACTGTATTTGTATATCTGTTTGTAGAGACATTTATTGTGTTGGCGTAAAAATAAGTTTATATCTCTAAATTTAGAGGTGTAGCGGACACTGTTTTTCAAAAATTAAATCAATAACAATTCCACAACGTGTTTTTGACAACGCATTTAACAAACAAAAACTACCCAACTCAAATCTCGCAAACCATCGCAAGGTAATTTTTTCCCCTGACAACGAAGTGTTCTGTATTTTATTATACATAGTGCGGAACAGAAGGCTACGTGGGCTTAAGACAATGAAATCATAGATAGCATAAAAAAATACGCTTATCATTTAATCACCTGACAGTAGCAAAGTTTTTCCTCTATTCAAGATGGCTGAAATGCCATGCATTGATGTTTGCGCTGACCGGGCAGAGATTATTTACATGTAGGCGGAGGAAGACGCATCTGTGTCGTAGTCAACGCCAAATTAAACAAAATTAAACTACATCAATTACTGGATTCCCGACATGGACGACTTAAGCGATGTATGACAAAGGCCTTTTTGTTGTCGAAAATAAACTACAGTGTATGGAAAACTACCTACGCTCCAAGTGTCATGTAGGAATAACTGCTTCTTTATTGCAATCTCCCTTTTCCAAAGAACACCTTGTCTGAATTATTATCCTTCTAGCCCCACTACCGACCCGCTGTGTTCAAACGTCAAAGTTGCCTTTGGCTTTCGTTACAGAGAAAAAAAAATAACGAAGTAAGTAACTCGTCTGTGTTTGAATAGCTGTTTTTAATTTTCTTTTTCGCGCTGATGTGAGGGAGGTCTGTGTGCACGAACTAGACGGGAGTTGTAATAAAAGGGAATACAGCAGCCATTTCATCACTGCCCAGTAGCGCTAGTGCATTGCGACTGATAAGACTACGGGCCTGGTCGTTACTTTGGTTTAGTGACAGGGCCATTTCATAAACTTTTAAGTGTGTTACGCCATAAAGCAGTGTTTCTGTTAAAAGTGTACAAGCACAGCTGTTTTGTGCTTCAGCAGAAAAGGACTGCTCCGGCCATGATGGCTGCCATATTCCCTTCGTGGGGTTACATACTGTATTCCTGCATTCCGGCGCACTGAAAACGAGCTTCCGAAATATATTTAGGCGAACAACAGGCCAGTTCTGCAGCGAAATGCCTTTGTACTCGGCGGGGAATCCGAGTATAATGCGGTCATCCTTCACAGCACCTTAAAGAGGTGTTATTAAAGTGTGAAAGGATGAAGCCGTAATTGCTGTCACATCGTCTTTTCTCCATGCAAAATAATCCCGAACATGACATGTACCACAGATTTGGTAGTTGAGCAAAGGCAATCATAAAATAGTTTTATTGGTAACCAGAATATTACCAAGATATTGATAACCTGATATTGCAAACGTGTGTGTGTGGGGAGGAACTATTGTCAAGTACCATATCAAAGTTAAAACTTCCTCCTCAGTTTTAGTGAGCCTAAAACGCGCAACTATATAGAACAGCATGGAAAATAGCTATTAAAACTAAATTAGACGTGCAAATATATAATTGTAGTATTATTTAAATATATTATATAATTAGTATCTTTACCATTACTGTACGGTGAATACATAACAATAATACCGTATGCCTTTATGAGCCCATTTAATACAAAAAAGCTGTGCAACAAAGCAGCATATGTAGCAAAGCTGTTATGGTCTATAGTATGATGCAGTTTTGCGGTTGTGGTAACCAGATTCCTAAAACTTACTCAATGTTTTTTTTTTATTCATGTTGAAGACTTTAGCTGAACCATATTAAACAGCCTTGGAACCTTTAGCGCTCTGTCGTCTCAGCTTTTCACTGAAAACACGCCACACAAAAATACTTACCAAAACGAAACATATAACGGGGGAAAAAAAACTTTGCACGTTAAAATAAAGGATAGAAAACTAGAATTCAATTAAAGATAATAAACGAGCAAAAAAAGAAAGAAAAGAGATTACCAAAGATGTGGAAAGAATTTAAATTGGGATTTAAATTTTAAATTTTTTTATTTTAAAACCACATGCTGTTCAGATGGCCTTAAATTCACCATTTACATCTGATTATTATCTGCCTGTAGAACGGATTCATAATTCCAAATTTACCTTGCTACTTACCTGCAATCCTTACCACTAAACACTTGCAGAATTATTAATAGCCTATACAGTATGTTTGCAAATGTTGGTCCTGTTTTAACAAGGGCCTTAAACTCGCCTATTCAAATTAATAAAATAGTTGGCTTAGTAACCAGAACACTTTTGTGTTTCACATACGTGAAAATGTTTTAAGTAGCAATAAATTAGCAATAAATTAAAACGTCTTCCTCAGTTTTAGTAAGACTAAAGCACTCAACTGTGTTTCAGAGAGAATGCACACTAAAAACTCAATAGTATAGAAAATAACATGCTATTAAAAATAATTTAGAAGTGCACTTTAAGAAGTGCAAATAGTCTCTTGAGCTTTAATTTGAAACTGTTTATTTTAATTGTCATTTTTTGATTGCACTAGTTATTTTATGTTCCTCAACTCATTAATTCAATCTTCAGTAGTATTAACAATAATTATTTATGAATTAAATACAAATTACATAACAGTTTGTTTCATATTCTAAATTAAGTACCTTTTTGGGTTCCAGTGTCCTTGTTAATGTAAAATAGTTTCCTAGAGGTTCAATAGCAGATGAAGAGAAAATGCATATGAATAAGCATGCATTTAAATTGATTTGAAACTTTCAGGTAATTCATTTGTTGTTGTATGGAAAGTGTTGCTTAGATTCTCCCCAAAAGCTGTTTAGCACATAGTCCAAGAAAGACTTCAGTTAATCTAATTATACAAGTTCAGAACTAAAACACTTAGCCTGTCTAGACAATTGGTAGTGAGGAAGTGAAAAATAATTCTGAAAAGCTTTTAATATCATTTACTGTATTTAGCAACTTTCCTTTCATGTTGAAATCACTGCAAAGCATGTTTTTATGAGGCAAAGAACAACTGAGATTAAACCCCTGTAAAATCAAACACAGATGATGTAAAATAAAAAAGTACAGACTCATTTAAAAAATCTGATGTTTTTTTTTTATCAAAGAATTCCTTAAATCAGGTGCTCTCCTGCAGGAGACCTAATCCACCATAGTATAGTGCTTAGCATCAGGGACATTCAGGAATCCAGGATTCAAACTGTATTCAAAGTATTAAAACTGTGCGTCTATCCAGGTATCTACCTATGGGAATTTCATCATCATAAAATGTGTGTATTATTAAAATCTTAAAGATTTGAAACTTTATTTCACTGTAATACAGAAATGATCTAGCTATTCCAGGAACAAAATCATACAAGCTTTCTCACTTCTTGCAGAATTGTGTAATAGTTAAAATTTAAATAACTAAAAACCGAGCTTAAATAATCTGTAACGCTGTGCTGAAAAGTAGGCATATAAGACATCAGTTTATATTTCAACTAAGGTGATACGACAATACATCAACTAAAGGGGAGGAGTGGTGGCTCTGAAGCTAAGGACCTGCGCCTGTGGCTGGAAGTTTACTGGTTTGAATCCTGCAGCCAGCAGAGGAATCCTACTCCGTTGGGCCCCTGAGCAAGGCCCTTAACCCCAACTGCTCCAGAGGTGCCGTAGAAATGGCTGACCCTGCCCTCTGACCCCAAACTTCTCTTTCTGTCTCTGTGTCTCGTGGAGAGCAAGCTGGGGTATGTGAAAGGACAAATTCCTAATACAAGACAATTGTAATGGCCCAAAAAAAGTGATCTAATCTCAAAGGAATTGTCATTAACTGATTTGGGACTAAAGAGGCAGAACAACTTGGTTGTTTCATTGCTAAAATCTAATAAGAAACTGGAAGCTATGGTTGATAAAATGTGATGAGAATGTGTTCTTGAAGAAGAGGCAGATCCTTTCCAGTAATGACACAACGGCTAACTCCATAAACCATACAGCAATAATTGTGGATTTAAAAGGCCAGAATCCATTTCACGCATCTTTTATGTAAACCCTAACCCAAAATGTATTAATGGGTTAAGACCTATGCTAGCAACGAGCAAAGTGCTCATCATGAATCATTTGCTGTGGTTGGCAGCTTTACAGTCCCTTTGTTTTATGTCTTGCAGAATTGGAAGGAGAGTTGATGTTTGGATCCCGTTAAGAATGCAAGTCATTTTTAACGGTTTAAACCTCGACCCTTACCCTGAAACCCCGACTGAGTCCGGAGGCGGAATTAAATCGTTGTGAAAACCATGAAAGCGTTACGTTAAACAAAACGCACGCACGCGAGCAAAGAAAACGGAAACAATGACAACGATAAACAACAGCAGCTACTCCCTGCCCACCATGGTTCCCAACAGCTCAGTGCTGGACACCATGTCCATTGGCAGCAGCACCCCGGTTTCCGGCGGAGAAGAGGGTCAGGCTGTGCTCGTGAGCCGGCCTTACAAGTGCTCTGAGTGTGGGCGCTCCTTCGCCCAGCTGACGGAGCTGGAGCTCCACGAGATGTCCCACGCCGCCGAGCGGCCGTACACCTGCGATCTGTGCGGCAAGACGTTCGCCCAGACCTCCGCGCTCACCAAGCACCAGCGGGTGCACACCGGGGAGAAGCCGTACAAGTGCCCGGCGTGCGACAAGTGCTTCGCCCTCTCCTCGGGCCTGGTGCTGCACAAGCGCATCCACACGGGCGAGCGGCCGCACAGCTGCCCGCTGTGCGCCAAGACCTTCATCTCCTCCTCCCACCTGGCCCTGCACCTGCGCTCGCACACCGGCGAGCGCAAGTACAAGTGCAG